TCGGCGCGGACAGAATTGATTTACGCTTTGAAACATCAAACTTCAACGTAATCAAAGATCAGAGAACCAAAGATGGATAATTAAATCAGATCAAAGTCAAAGGCTGCTTGGTATAGTGGTTAATGCTTTGGACTCAAACTCACAAAGATTGAATCCCCGGCAGGAAATTTTTTTAATATTATTTTTCGAAAAAAATTTGAATCTTAGATAACTTTGATAATGGATATAAAACAAAGGACTCAACCTTAGAAAATCGGTTGAGGGGGAAACGAAATATCTTCAGTTGGTTTCTGCTCAAAGGTTGTGGGCTTAGTTGCCACATCACTGATTTTTTTGATGAAAGATTTTTTAAAAATTAAAAATCATTTTTTGTCGGATCAAATGATTTCAGCTCAAAGATTGTTGGCTTAGTTGCTGATTTTTTTGTGCTATAAACAATTTTCATCGTAATTAAAGGTGCAAGTCTATTACATTGTTGTTTAAGATGGGACTTTTTTTTATAATATCATATTTGTTTCTACTCAACTTGTGAAATATCTTCAAGGGAAAGAAGAAAAGGGCTCGAGCTTGAGAAAAACAAAAGAACTAAATCTAAAGCTTAAAGTTTCAATTATTAAGTTAATGACAAGCAAAAGCTAATATTATCTGAGTTTTATTTGCTCAGCGTCTAAAATATCAAATCTAAAAAAACTTCAATTTGTTGTGTTTTAAGCTTGCGATTAGCAAGCGTTATCAAACTGGAATATATATTTTTTTCTAGTTAGTAAATAGTTTAACAAGATTTTTTGAATAACTTGTTGACTATGCAGCTGCTTTGTTTTCTCCGACGGATTTTGCTTTTGCTGTAGAAAGTTTTTAATGTAGTTAAAAGTGCAATTTCAGGGGACTTCAAGATTTTTAAAAATTTTTTGAACTTTTTTTTGGAGGAGTTAGTGTCTGCTCAAAGAAAGTGTTCTTAGTTGCCACATCATTTAATTTTTTAGCCGTAAGTTTTTTGTAGTTGCAACTGCTGTTCATTCTAGTTTGAAGCGGGCCGGAAAAATTGACGCATATACAAAACACTACAAATGAAGCGAATGTTTATACGCAATATGTTTATATGTTTGCCTGTATTTAGTTTCTATCGAAACATATAACTTCTTTTATGACCTAGGTTTTTATGAAAAAGAAATGTATTTTTTTTTCGGTTTTTTTTTTAGTTGTGTCGCAAATGGTGCGCCTCCGTGTCATTATTTTTGTTTCGCTCTTTTGTCTTGTCAACAAGTGAGGTCGGAAAAATTGGCGCATACACAAGATAATCCCGTTCAAATGAGTCCCATCAAAGGAGTTCAAAACATTTAAAAAAAAGTCAACAAGCAGTCCCATAAAAACAGTCCAAAACCAATTGATTTTTTGACCTTGATCTTTGGCGCAGAATTGATTTACGCTTGAAAATATCAAATGTGAGCATAAATAAAGATCAAAGAACCAAAGATGGAGCATTAAATCAGATCAGATTCAAAGGCTGCATGGTATAGTTTTTAATCCTTTAGACTCAAACTCCCAAACTCTCAAAAGATCGAATCCCCTGCGGGATAATTTTTAAATATTATTCTTAGAAAAAATTCGAAGCGTAGATAAGTTTGATAATGGGTATATCTAGCGTAAAACAAAAGGCTGAACCTTAGAGAGTCGGGTAAAAAGAAAATGAAACTCAACGTTTTGTATCTATTCAATATTTTTGCCGGTTTCAAATCGACTATAGCTCAAAAAAAAATACGGGAAAATAGTGTAACTTGGAATTTTTTTTTTGTGTGGTACTGTGGAACAAATTTAAAAAAAATTGGAAAAAAAACAAATATCTAATGAAAGTTTATTGTCTTAACTACAGCCTTTTAGAAACCCAATGATATTGTTACGTTGATATGACTTAATCATATTGATTAATTTTTTTTCAAGTTTTTTGTAGTTTTTGGTCCTCCGCACATTTTTCTTCAAAATTTCTGCTTTCTTTTGTTCGTCAATGAACTTCTCGATGAGTTTGCGAAAAGATGGGTGCTTGCTCTTGACTAGTTTTCTCGAAAGTGCTGTTGACTAGTTTTTCTTAAAATTGTTGATCCAACCTTCTACAGCGTTGTTGTTGCGGAAAAGATAGTTTTTTACTCTTTGATGGCAACTTCTTTGCTCTGTCAAATTTGGGCTTCTGTCGTCCTCGAGAAGTCAGCCTACCAATATATGTGTCCTCAAGATACTTGCATATCAGTTGTCTTCTTCGGAGGCTATACCTTTAAAAGCTCGAACGCAGCGGGGACGTCGTCTACGAGCAGAAATGCTGTTGCGAGAAGCATTAGAATTAGCTCACGAAAATTGCGGTCGGTGTTGTAAGTGTGAGTATTGGCTGACGACTGAATATATCGCCAGATGCTTTGACTCATATAGAACAAACAAAACTGAATTTTAGCGCTCTGATGGGTAGACATTATTGAGTTTCGCACAGCTACTTAAAATCAATTGTAACGTGTTTTGGTGGCTCAACTTTTGGACTATTAAGGAGGCGACATTAAGTTGATTCCTTTTTTTCGGGTAGCGGAGCGTAAATAAGAGAAATAAGGCATCCTTCATATAAAGTGTGTATTAGAAAAAGTTCCATCGCAGAACCAATCATCCAAATCAGTCAGCGAAGTTGGCTCTGCCATCTTTGGTCTCTTTTTTTGTCGAAATCTTTTATACGCACACGTCCATTGCAACTACATTGTGCCCAGCGCCAGGAACGGGAGGTGTCTGACAGTTTTCGTTGTTTAATATAAGCATACACTTCAAAAATCAGTAACTCAAAAAAATTTTTGTAAGTATTAATTCCATCGATAGTGTTGCCAAGAGTTCGCAAATGTTAAACTTGAGCAATATGTTTTTTTGGTTTAAACAAAAAGTCCATTTTTTATTTGCATTAATTTTCGTGTTTCGCATATTATTGTTTTTAATGTGTGGCCGTTGCTGTTATCTAGGTATTCTAATTTCTCTGCTATACCACTTTTTATCATCCGGATTAATTAGAATCATTTTTTTTAATCTGAGAGAAGTCTTCTCTTCATTTCTGGAACAATTATCACTTCGGTTAACGGGACCGTTGTTCGGTTCTTTTCGGTAGTGTATTTTTTTGCGTTAGCTTTTCGGTGTGTTTTGTACAGTAATGTTTTTGTATTGGACTGTTTTGTAGAGGCATGGAAAAATACAATGAAGTCCTTCTACGAGCTCAAAAATGTCGTACCAGACTGAGTTATATATCATATTGAAGCCATTTAAAAAAACTGATTTGGTCTGTCCTAATTGTCGAAACATTTCTGTTTTGTCAAAATAACGAATGTTTCGTTTCTCAGACATTGTTTTAACATTTAAACGAATCGAAATAGAAAATATTTTCAGCGAAAAGTCGAATAATTGTTAAATATAACGAATGAATTTTTTCTCCTCAATCAATATTATACATCATGAAAATTTGAAGTCTGAACACAATTAAATGAGAGGATATAACTAATTTTGCTTAGTTCGAATTTAAAAAAACGGAATATTTTTTATAATGTATTTTTGTGTTTCCGGAGAGGGGCGTTAAGTTGTAAGATCTGAGAAATTCTTAGCTGATAATTTTATGACAACAATGTTGTTTCCGGTTCAGCGGCAATTTAGCCAGTTTTTGTCGGTTGCTGCCGCTCAAAAAATTTTCCTTTTTACTTATTACATACCGGCAATTGTATTGGTGAAAGTTTTTTTCTGAAAATGAAAGTAATTCGAGACAAGTATTTGCATTTTTTGTATTTATGGTTTTGCGGGAAAAATGACTTTCCGAAAAATTCGATCCCATAATATGTCTGCTAGCTTGCAATGCTAGTTTTGTGAGATGTCCCAAGTAATGCGAAGCTCTGCTCAGCCACATTATAAACTTCAGAAGTAAGTGAGTGGGTAAATAGCTGGTAACACCTGGTCTCATTCCACGCAAAAAATGGCAAAACTATTTTTCAAACATTATGCGCTACGTTTACAACAACCTGTTCTTTGTTGTCATGAATTGATCATCGTTGTTCATTACGCTTTTAAAAACCAGACTAAATAATAAACACTAAAATGGGGAGAAACTTTGTCTTCGGGTGTTAGTTGGAATGGACCATATTCAGACGCGTTTAGAACGACCTTAAAAAAGTTTCAAAAAGTAGTCCAGTGTCGAGACAAGTTTCGAATGATTGAAGCAATCGATTTTCGTATGGTTTATAAAATTGCCCATGAAGGCTAAGAACAGTTAATTTTACAAAAAGCTAATTTCGAAAGATTGAAGCAATCGATTTTCGTATGGTTTTTAAAATTGCTCATTAAGGCTAAGAATTGTTAATTTTACAAAAAGTAAAACGACTAGTTTTAAGAGCTTCAGCGTTTTCTTGGCAAAAAAAAATGTTTTTCTAAAAAGATTTTTTTTTAAATTTCTAAATTTTTGTTGGTTATTCATTCTTTGAAGACAACTGTTGTCGATTATACCTAACTCGCTAATTTTGTATGCGTTTGTATAGTTCTCTTATCACACCACGTACAAAACAGGACACTTATTCAAGAAAAAAAAACTTTTTTGTAGTTTTCTTTGAATATGCTCGGAACGTTCTGTGCTACTTGCGTTAGCAACCGGCTATCCTTGCATAAATAAATTTCCAAGCAGAAATGAATGACTTTTTCACTGAGACCAAAAAGTAAAGGATTAAAAATTATGGACAGTTTGTTCTGAAATCCAAATTACTGGTGGAAGGTGGAAAGGCTTCATTGTCATACCCTATTCGTTCCCATTGGTCGTTTCTCAGAGGTTGGTCAAAAATAGTAGTTGAAATAACCAAACTAAAAAAGTATTAGGATCAAGAGTTGAAATACTGGTGAATGTTTTGTATGCTATGCTTGGCGTCCTAGTAACATATTTGAGAATCCGATATTATTTTACAATTGGTTGATCTGATACGATCCGAGATTAAAACCCAAAGTCAAATCGATAGTTTTTCTAATATTAAATGAAACTACGTAGATTACATGAATTTCGAACTAAGTATCATGAAGTGATTACTAAATGACTGATAACTCATGGATATGAATTTCCAGTTTAATGGTGTCACCTTTGGTTAGAAACTCATTCTGAGGATTCTCCAGATTCTTCCAGGGTATCGGCATACAATGCAAAACCCTCCTCTTAGCATCTGGATGTTTGATCGAAGTGAATTTTTGAACGAAGTTTTTCTCTGGGTCAGAGCTTAGCAGTGTTGATTCATAGCTCAGTTCCAAATTCCAGTCTGACGATTTTTTAACTGGCGAGACATAAAGCCATAATCCAAGCATCGATTCTTTGTTTCTCGTAAATGAAGAGCACGCGACAATAAATATCCAGTTTCCACATATGAACGCATTGGATGTCTTGCCATTTGCCTCTGATTTTGCTTCAAATATATTTTCAATTTGCAAAGGAAATTTAAGAGGCTCTGGTTCTCGAATTTGATTGAAATTCTCTGCGTTAAATCCAGTTTCAAGGAGGTACTTGATTTCTAAACTTAACTTTTCATGACTATCGCCACGTCCCAAGAACTTCTTAATTTCGTCTCGTGTCCTTGCATACGAGTTCAGCTTTTCCTTATCAGTTGAAAGTTTCTTCATTTCATTGGAAACTTGTAGGATCATTAGATCAACGTTGCCCAGCATTGTCACAAGCTTCACTCCACGCTCGGTCAGAAAATCATTGTAGCTTCTGATGACATGTCCCGAATGACTCTTTTCAAAGCAAGTCAGACATAGCTTAAAACTGCAGACATCGCACAAGAAAAGAGGATCTTTAGTATGAACGCATGGTTGGCCCTTCTGCTTTATAGATCGCCTTTCGGGTTTCGCTATCGCCACGTCCTTCAGAGCGTCCCGAATTCCGTAAAGAGGTTTCAAATCGGCAACATCAATTTCGAAGAGAGCATTGCATACCGCACATTTGGTCTTCGATAATTGAAAAATATTTTCATTATTGTCCTTGATTTTGATTCCATCCAAGCAAATCCTAGGAGGTCCACAGAATGAATGCCCACAAGGAAGTGCACGGGGATCCAGAAGAACCTCAGTGCAAATAGGACAGTCGAAGCCAGACACAGAACTAGAAGCCATAAAGAGAAATAAATTCAATTGGTCATATTTTTATGTATTGCTACTAGTTGTACTTGTAATTTATGCCTTGTTCAGAAATCAAATTCCTATGTCAGTTATTAATTGTAACTGCACGTTGTTCACATCAAGTTTGCGATTAGATGTTGATTCGGTAAACGCAATTGTAGATTTTGACGAATACCCAACTCTTTCTAGCATCAGAAACAGTTGATTATCAAAATTAGCTAGATAGGTAAGCTAAAGTCACAGTCAACTTGCAAGGTTTCGAAAAAATTTCTGAAATCTGGAATTATAAATTATAACGATTTAACTTCACATACAGAGCTGAGAGAAACGTTAAATTGCAGTTTTGACTATTTGTTGCTGTTGCTGATGATAACAGATCTTTAAGTGAACCAAAATCAAATAACTATGTGGGTTATTAAACTCGTCAGGTTGAGTAAAATTATGAGAGTCGCCGTGTTTTAAAGCGGCTTCATAAGTTACAATAAAAAATACATTTGTATTTCCCGTTGTAGCTCTTCCTTAAGGGTGTGAGATAAGAAAAATCTGAACTCCATGCGATGCAGATTCTGCAACATCGATACAAAAAAAATTGGAGTTGTTGAAGAAAAATTAGTTCCAAAGTTACGTAATTATATTTAAAAAGCAATTTTAGCAGGTTTTTTGGCGTCAGTGAAGTTCGCCCTGTATCTAAGATGTTTCCGCCATTTAAACCATATCCGCTAACTTGGTTCTGCTGTATTGGGAATGCATAAAACTGTTTCTGCTCCTTTAAAGAGCCGAAAATTTTTCTTTTTGGATCCCCACAGTTTGCGAATATCTCGCAATTGCAAAATGGGACCACTCATGTGTGAAAAAATGCCGGCTGATTAATTGCTTTTCAGCTGCATCTAATTTATTTCGACGCGGAATATTTTTTTACAATGCGGCGCTGAGCCTGCTTCGCCGATGCATCGCAATTTTCGACGCTGAGCCTGCTTCGTCGATGCATCGAAATTGCCGACTTTTTCCCTTTAACAACTTTTCGTTCAGGCGAAAAGTTGTTGAAGTTTCGACTATTTGTTGCTGTTGAGAGTCGTCAGGTTGAGCAGGTGTTAAAGGGTTATTCGAATCTTGGCCGAACGTTCTTTTCTTTTCCATTATATATGCATGTATGTATGTATGTATGTATTTATACCTTAATTTATTATGGTACCTCGATCCCTGTCAGGCTCCTTCCCACATGGTCCATCGCTAAAGCACGCGACTTCAGAAACATCACTCAAGGACACCAAGTACAGATTCCGGCTATCACAGAATACTATATGCGAGCACTGCGATGAGGAAGAACCAGAAACAACGGAACACTACCTACTGAAGTGCACAAATTGGGACCGGGCCAGAGAACAGCATCTTGGAAGAAACCCAACCTTGACGCTTTTGCAGACCAACCCCATTAACATCATCTTATTCGCAACAAGCACTGGACATTTCAAGTCCCCCGATTATCAAGAGGGCTCCTAAACACACACACACTTCAGAACATAAGGTCTCTGTTTCGGTCTAAGGTGGGACAGTTTTTAAGAGCTGTAAGAAATTGACCTTGGTTTGGAATGGAACCTTAACCTTATTCAGGCCCTTGTCACTTGTTCTATAGTTAAAGCACGCGCTCTCTGAACTTAAAGTCTAGAGTTCGATTCCGGGCCGGGCCTTCCTTTTTTCGCTGTATGTTGAAAACTTGAAGTTATTTTTTTTTGAAAACTTGAATTGTCGGACTATCGATCGTTTAATAAATTTTTTTGTTCTGTGAAAAGACGGTTTCGATAGGTAAATTAATCCGTTAAGTTTAGTAACCGTAAAGTAGAAAGTTAGTCGGAGACAATGAAATGGCGGTCATCCAAAGGTGACAGACAACTCTGAAGGTTAAATACCAGTTAGCGCCAGACAGATAAATAAACTAGATAGCAGCAACTAGAATGAAACTGAACTCCAATTGTGAACTAATTTAGATACTATGACATTCCCTTTCTTGTGAGAAATGAAGACTTAATTTAAATACTGAGTGAAATGTGGTTATGTAAATGAATGAAAGTTAACAACGAGTTTCAGCTAGAGTTTTGGTTAACTGGTATAGGCAAGGTTAAACTAAACAATTGAGTTTTTGCCGCTTCACGGCATGCCCTCTCCCTGGACTTAGAATTTTTGTTTTCATGCTTTTCCTCCTTTCTATTTCGTCCCTGGTTTTTCCACTTTTCGGATATTGTCAATCATGACTGCCTCCATTTTATTGACTGCCGTACGTTTCCTTCCCGAACGTCTTGAGCTGGTCTCGTCTAACGAACTTGCCGAATCTTGACTCGAATACGAAACAAGCCGTTGCTTCCTTCCCCGCTTTTTGCTTTCGGTTTTTGTGGAATTTCCGATTTGTCCTGCGTTACAGCCTCGTCGCGCTCCGTCTACTTTCGATTCCCTTCCTTCGTGTCGTGCTTCCTCCGGTTTGTTTCAATCTCCGCCTCTCGTGCAAGAGTACTCCGTCGCCGTCTCGTAAGTGCTTGGTCGAATTGTTATCGTCGCCGTTTATTGACCCCCTCTAGATGTTCCTGGTCTTTCCCCTTCATTGTTCGTCCCCGGGTTACTCCCCTTCGGTTCGGTCGCTTGTATTTTCGTCGTCAGTGGTAAATAGTCGTCTTCGTCCGATTCCGAGTCCTCCACGTTATCCCTGATTTGGCATTTCTTTTGTTTGCCTGCGGTGCTTTGGTATGTGCCTGTGGTGCCTTTTGGGCTAGATGGTCGGTTTGCGAGTAGTTTCTGTTTCAGGTCCACGGTGTTGGCGGTGCGGCAATCTGACCAGGCGCCCTTTTCTTCGGAGTGTTGGTCCGTTTCAGTGCTACTCCCAATTTTCTAAGCACAGCACCGTTACTCATTTTAATGGTATGTTCACTCTGATTTATGATACTGGATTTCAATGGTTTCTACCTATTTAAGTTGCGCTCTCCCCTTCGCTGCATTACTACCGCTGGTGGCATTGCTGTCGCTGGCGAACCCTTGGTCCGAACAATCCCTGGTTAGTTGTCCTGGTTAGCGATCCGGTCGTCGGCTAATCTCATTGGGTGGCGCCCGTTCTTAACGTCGTACTCAGTATCCGAGCGGACTCCCCAATTTGTGTTCATTGGTTCTGGCATCGCTTGAGCGTCCGCGTCTCGTTCATCTAAACAGGCAGATTTTGAGCGTATTACGTTTTCCCAATTTAGATTTCTTAATGACGGCTTTTTGGTTAAGTTTCTGAGGACTGTGTTAGCTTCCCGACCATGGTGCGCTTCAAACGGTGTTAGACTTAGGTAGCGTTTTTAGCGAATCTCAAAGCACCGGGGGCCCTCTCAAGCATCCGCTCCAAGGGTTCCGATTTTTTTTTCTTCTCGCGCATACGTTAGTACTGAGTTCTTGAGACTGCCGATGGTCCGTTCGACGCACCCTGTTGCTCGATGATCGTTAACTGGCGAGGTAAGTATTTCAATTCCTTTTTTGTGACAGAATGTTCTGACCGCCTTAGACATAAAATTCGTTCCCTGGTCAACTCGGATTTGTCGCGGAACTCGGTGTGCGATTTTATATGATTTTAAGAATTTTACTATTTTGTCCGACCGATTTGAATTACACGCCATGGCCGAGGGCCATCGAGAAAAACGATCCACTGCCACCAGAACATACTTTTTAGATTCCTTTAAGTAGCTAATTGGCCCCCAAAAGTTTAACTGCACGGATTCATTCGTTTCTTTGGGTTCAGGTATTTTCCCTACATCCCGTTTTGGGCACATGTTTTTCAAATTCTTACCGGCTAATGTGCATTCTCGGCAATTTCCTGCGATTGTCGCTAAGCTGAGGAACATGTAGGGGTACCAGATGTCTTTTGCCGCCTCGTACATAATTGATTACCCATGATGGTAATAGCGCAGTCTGTTGTTTACCGCCGTTTGCAAAGTGTTTGGAATTACGAGTCTCTCATCCATCCATAGGCATCCGTCCTTCACATGAAAGTCCTGAGTGTACTGTACATAACATTTACTCATTACTGCGATTTTGTATGTAGATCCGGGCCCTGGAACTTGATCATTTCAATGATTGCTTGTAGTTGAGGGTCTGAGTTGTACTGAGAATCGATAAATCGAAGGTTAAACAATTCTGGAGGAGCGTTGTGTTCATTAGGTTATGAGTATTTCGAGGGTATTGGCATACAATGCGACACCCTCGTCTCAGCATCTGGATGTTTGATGGAAGTGAATTTTTGAACGAAGTTTTTATCTGGGTCAGAGCTTAGCAGTGTTGATTCATAACTCAATTCCAAATTCCAGTCTGACGATTTTTTAACTGGCGAGACATAAAGCCATAATCCAAGCATCGATTTTTTGTTTCTCGTAAATGAAGAGCACGCGACAATAAATATCCAGTTTCCACATAAGAACGCTTTGGATGTTTTGCCAATTGCCTCTGATTTTGCTTCAAATATATTTTCAATTTGCAAAGGAAATATAAGAGGCTCTGGTTCTCGAGTTTGATTGAAATTTCTGCGTTGAATCCAGTTTCAAGAAGGTACTTGATTTCTAAGCTTAACTTTTCATGACTATCGCCACGTCCCAAGAACTTCTTAATTTCGTCTCGTGTCCTTGCATACGAGTTCAGCTTTTCCTTATCAGTTGAAAGTTTCTTCATTTCATTGGAAACTTGTAGGATCATTAGATCAACGTTGCCCAGCATTGTCACAAGCTTCACTCCACGCTCGGTCAGAAAATCATTGTAGCTCCTGATGACATGTCCCGAATGACTCTTTTCAAAGCAAGTCAGACATAGCTGAAAACTGCAGTCATCGCACCAGAAAAGAGGATCTTTAGTATGAACGCATGGTTGGCCCTTCTGCTTTATAGATCGCCTTTCGGGTTTCGCTATCGCCACGTCCTTAGTATGCGATTAGATGTTGATTCGGTGAACGCAATTGTAGATTTTGACGAATACCCAACTCTTTCTAGTATCAGAAACAGTTGATTATCAAGATTAGCTAGACAAGTAAGCTAAAGTCACAGTCAAATGTTGCAAGGTTTCAAAAAAATTTCTGAAATCTGGAAGTATAATTTATTACGATTTAACTTCACATACAGATCTGAGAGAAACGTTAA